AAAAACGTAAACAAAAATATAAAACAATCCGTTATTGAAAATTGAATTAAAAAATTTAGGGTCACACGGTGGTTTCATCAGCTAATTATTTAACAAATAAAGTTATACAGAAGGGATAATGTAAAACTAGGAAAAAATATCTAAGGGGGCTGAATTTCTACAACCGATTTGGTAATTTAAATCTTAGTTTGTTTATGTATTAGCTAATTTCCATTTTTTCTGATAAAACTAATTTTAAACATTTGTTTTGAACATGTAGAATTTTATAGTTTAAATTAAAATTATGCTTTTCCTGATTTAAATGTTTTGCGTTGGGCAGGTCCTGCCTTTTTATTAATAAAACTAGGAAAATGTTCTCCTATGCGAGTTTTGAGAGATCTACGCGTATGCCCTACGTAAACTCAATCACAAATCTAAGCAACTTGAACTTGGCTAGATACCTACTCTCTAAATGAAACCACTGAGTGGTGAAACAATTGTTGTGGCAAGATGAATAAAAATATTTCATTTTTATGGTACTTTCAAAGGGACTTTTTTTCGATTGAAAGCGTGCCTTGCTGAGTCGTAAATTATAAATCCTCACACTGGGCTACCAATATCGATCACATAAAACATCAATTGGCCTTTTTCATGTAAACAATGAACAGAGTTTATAGAGTTCTAAACCGAAGAAAGAAAAACCTATTACCCAGCAAATACGCTGATTTCAATTTTCTTTTTGTGCGACACTGAAGCAAAATATCGTACATTTATGAGTATTAGGGTGGTTGATCGGAAACAAAAAAAATGGATCGATACAGCATGTCAAACAAAGGAAACCGCTTTTTGACAAGGGTAAAAAGAGTTCCCAAGTGGTGCCATTTTTATTGACAATGGAGCAGGACTGAAATTACATCTCCCAAAGCCTGGAAGATGTGTTTACACTCTGTTATTACCAGTCATTAGGTAGTGACCGAGAAAATACATAAATCATCAAAAAAGGGATATTTGAACTAACTTCGATAGTAGTTCTTTAATACATTTTGGGTAAAAAGTTATTTTTAGTTCTAGTTTTTAAAAAATCAGTCGATTACGCGTTAGATCATCTTGTTGTCGCTACATCCGTAGAGATACATCGTTAGCGATTTTCTCACTGTCACATATTCGGAACTGGAATTTACTTTTGCTTTTTTTATTTTAATTTTAAATGATAAGTACAGTAAAATTTATATGCATTAAATTATAGACTTTTATTCATTTTCATGGGATACATATTTCGACGATTTTCATAGTTTTCAATAAAGTAGCTACTGATTAACTTCTTCCACCTATTTGATTGGCTTCTTGTAGTACCTAATAGAAAGTATAAACAATGTTAATACTTTTTGCAATAAGTTTGCAGTACCTGTTAGCTGGAAAACATGCATTTGAGTAAACAAATTATACGTATTAGGTATCTCTTTCTCTGAAACATTATCTACAACTTTCGTCATTTATTATTAGAGTTCTGCTTTTTGTACTCGAAAGGTCCAATTATGTTAGCAATATGCTGTCTGCCAGAGGCCTTTTAAACTCTGAGAATCGACTTGTAATTCACAAACAATATGTAAATTCTTGGCTCCGAAATGAAAGTTGTATTTAACGTTGTATAAAACTTTATTTGAAGGAGGCACAATACATGCAAACTAGAGTCAAAAACTCTTTCTATTCTATCTACAATAGGTTTGTGAGATACCGTTGAAAAGAAGTTAAACAATGAATGTCTACTAGAAAAGTTTATTGTACAATAGAAGAATGCTATAAGCAATTTCAACAATATTTGAAAAGTTTTCTTTAAAATAGAGAAGGAAAATTTGATCACATCTACGTATCACAAAGTTGAGAAATGGTGTGCGAGTCCGACAGAATCGGCGACGTAGCTTATACAATATGAAATCATAAATTATATGGACTTGCTTTCAAAGAGCTTCTTTGATTTGGTAGCTGTTCCTAATCGAGAGTGCCTTTGGCGTATTGGAGAGGTCCAATAAGATCGAAATCGCGATCCAATTACTCACCAAGAACTTATATACTGTTGGTTTTACGTAAATAGTGGCATTGTTAACTTCTTAGATGCATTTTGTGATAAAGAATGCGCTACAGAATTGATTCGACCTTTACGGAAAATGATGCCCTGACAAATAAGCAGCTCCCAATAACACCAATTCGAACGATTTCGCCGTCTTCAAGTTGGTATTTAATGAAAATTCTTTGTTGGGATTTAACAGAGCTTCGTCTGTTGAGGCCGACAACTGTGCGATCGATTTCTATCTCGAATTTAATCATCAGCATTGTTAGCAGCCTGAAACAACCACTCGACTGCAAGAAATCGAAATGTCTCACTTGTTTGCATCAACTGTGGTGATAATGTATGATTGTTAACAAAATGCTTTATTTATATTATTCACTAGTTTGAATAATTTATTATAGCTGCAAAAACAGCTTTAAATCGTACCTCAAGTTAATATGTTATCTCAGAAGCTTCTCGAGAATTTCAATTACTTCAGTATCTGAATGCGCGTACTTTTTAAATTCTACTGGACTGAAAAATTTCACTTTAGAAAATGACTCAAAAGCTTACCTTGGAAAGTGTAATTATTGAATAAAAATATCTCAGAGAAAGTCAGGCAAGCACCCACTGAATTTGTATAACTTTTACCCGAGATATAGAACTTATTTTATTTTGAAATTATAAGCAAGTTTAATTAACTCTTATCAAAATTTGACACAAGTATAAAGGCGAGCAGTGTTTGATCGACTTCTTAGGAAATTACTTAGGTTAATGGAGAGATAAAAACAGCTCTTAGAAGAGTTCTATAAAAAGTAACATAAGAAATATTTATCAAAGGATATTCCAACTTTTTCGTTCACTGATGAGGATAAAGAAAAAGTAATGCATATAATTAAAAATAAAATTAGAACCACACCCTAAACTATTTGCAAATGCTTATCTGATCTAAATATTTCTCTATCGCTATTTACTTCAGTCCAAGAAGGCATCCTACCAACCTATCTCTCCTATCTTTTATTGACGCCCGTAGCGCCAATTTCTCTTCACGGAATTTTCATCATCGTCCTTTAACAACACACCTCAAACGCTTCGAACTTTTTCCTTTTCGGCGAACTCACCGTCCACGTTTCGAATCCGTGTTTCAGACGTATTAAGTACACTTTTAATAATCTTTTTCGTATTTCTAAATTAATCGTCCGCAAGCATAGAAGTGACTTCTTTTTATTGAAGGCCACTCGACCCTGCGCTATCCTCTGCTTTACATCCTTACTACTACCTCCGTCCTGACTTATCTGACTTCCTAGATACCTAAAATCAGCCACTTTCTCTACTTTTTGGTCGCCTATCTTTATATACGCTCTTCCCTTGCATACCAATATTTTTGTTTAACTTTTGTTTAGTTTCATACAATTAATTTGTAAATCTAAGCATACCTACTAATCTTTTGCGCCTATACATCTATCCCTATAGATGTGCTGTCTTTAATGATGATGATCGCGTCTTCGATGGATAGATTAAAAGGTAGGAGTGACAGTGTGCATCCCTGTCTGACTCCCTTCCTAATATTTACTTCTCTACATTGCAGCACCAGCTCTATACCTGCCTGTTGCTCTTTATACAAACTAAGTATCACTCTTCTATCTCTGTAACTCATCCCTACTTTTTTAAGTATATTTAACATCCTATGCTTAGATTTGGAGATGACAGAGCAGTATTAGAATCTAGCAAGGAGGAGTTAGANACGAAAATTGGAAACTTTTTACATTTACCAGACCTACAATAAAAAACTGACAAGTACAGACAATTATTTATTCACGTGTATTGTATTATCAGAAGAGAATTCCTAATAAACTCAGGGACTTTCTTTCTAATTTTTGTGTGTTATTATCGAAGCAATTAGTCAGTAGGATGGACTAACATTGTACTACTACTACATAATATTCGTTCTAGCTGATGTTATTTGAAGATACACAAAAGACAAAATACGTGCCGAATGTTTTTCTACAAAAAGAAAATTAAAAAGATATTTTTTTTGAGATTATTTTGCATGAGCTTTTACGTGAGAGGAAAATGTTTTGAAAGTCATAAATAAGGTTTAACTGATCGGTTCGGAAATGATTTTGAATGTGATCCGGCTAAGAACGACGAGGGAAATTGACTGTAAAGATCTCTTCTATAAATGAGTTCCATGATGAGCTTCGAGTTTGGGATAAGCTTTCAAACTTTACACATTACTGTAACATGTTCTGCGGTACGTAAAGAAGAATCCTTTCGGCAGAATATTCGACTGGAGTTGCTTCTAATTCATTAAAAAATAATGCCGCTCAAATTGTATCCATCATCATCAATATACAATAAACGAGGATAATTACGTTAAATCAGTTGAACCCTCGTTCGGGTAATATTAGACATGGGTTAGAAAATTAGATGATGGATGTCACTTCCTGTATTATTTACGAAGGTTTGATTGTATCTGCAGTTTCATCATAATTTTCTCAGAAAGTTAGAATTTCAGGATATCACAGGCTCAAATCCCAAAAGTTCCATTTTTGGTCTTATTATGAGCATTACTATGTGACTAACAGGGTTGTTATTTCGGAAGTACACAGCACAAGACTGGGATATCAAGAAATTTCAATATTATAAGGTAGTTCTAGATAATTACTACAATATTGCTGTTTTTCTTTTTAGTCCCTGACTTTGTTGGCCAGTGGTACACAGAATAATCCATATAGAACAAAAACGGATTTCAATAAAACTTTGCCAATAAGGTTGTATTTTTTTATTTTGTTATAGAATAAAATTTTATTAAAAAAAAGGTAAAAGTATGTTATATTATCTTATCTGAGAAGTAAGTTTTAATTTTTTCTCTAAATCTCTAAATTCATATAATAAAAGAATACCTAGACATATAAATTAAATTATTGAATATTGTAGATATATTTTAGTATCTGCAGTAGTTAAAACTTACCCATACTGGTTTAAGTGATCAAAACCTTGAAGGAAGCGTATAGTTCAAGTAAACTCCAGAAAATGGTCTTAACCATCTTTGGCATCTGAAACAACGTAAAGTTTTAGAACTTTATCACAACAATTTGTGAAAGCACATAATATATACTTACAGAAGTGGATTACGATCTCACCATCTATCTTTACGTATATAGATGATTAAAATAAAGATAGTCGAAAGATGCGGAACCGTTTATTGCAGAGCACAAAAACGAAATGAAAGTTCAAGTCTAGAATTTCCTCCTCTCAACTTCGGTAGTTTCCCAACTTTCAAGTGTTTTATAGGTGTTGTAATAAAGACTTATACGATTCCGAATTCCTTAGTGAATTGGATTTTCAAACTTAATACACCATTCAAAATTATATTACAGAACTTCAAGGCATTTACTTCTCTTATCAAATATCTTAATTCCATTCCTTTAATTTTTCTTTTCAACAGAATTCGAAGTGAGTACATATATAAGTGTTTATATGTATAATTTGAATACTTTGCTTCACGCGGACATAATTCAATAAATGTTAGGGTTTTGAACATAACTTTTAAAAGAAATTTTTAGGTGCGTTTTTATGGCGATACAGTTAAATAAATAAAGCTTTTAATAGAAGTATTAAAGCTTATGTTAAGACGTGTTTGCGCGGACATAGTTCAGTGAATGTTAGAACTCCTAATACAACTGATGTGAAAATGCATTTTCGCGAGCATAGTCCAATAAATGTTAAAGCTCTAAACGTTTTTTGTTTAGCATCGCCTAAACGTAGTCACAGTCCGGCTTCTTTTTACAGGTAACTAATTATAAATTGTGTTACTGTTGAAGCTTATTCGTAGCTTTGCACCATATTTATGCAATTTACCTGCAGTTGAAAATAAACGCTGCGAGCTTTTCAATTACCGACCGAAAGGTACATTGGAACGGCATTGAAAACAAAATATTGAATGCATACGGCACATGGCTAGTTACCTTCAGGATTATTTCCTAAGGATATTTTTCTCCAATGGAGCTTATTTGCTATCGATAAGGATCTCATTCAAGTAGAAGAATATACGTAAACGATTGCATCAGAAGTAAATTGAATATCTCTGTATACATCTACATGATATATAGGTAGGCATGAATTTGTCTAATAACTGATGAATGCTGTGCCGTTTTCTGTTGCAATAAAGAGGAATAAATGAATTGATGCAGTGCTGCATAAGACTGATTTAAAAATAGCATTATGAAATTTAAAAAAGTTGAAATTGATTTATAAGTATCCTAACGAGATATTATTCTGCACTTTCAGTCTCAAATTTATAGAAACTCCAAAAAGAATGCTTTTGTGCTTTTAATGTTTCCTGAAGATTTTGGTACTTACTACATTACCATTATTTGTTTTATTTATTCTTAAAATTAAGAGAACCTTCTTTCACTTTGTGACTTTACACTTGAAAATTTCACAATTACAAAGTCGCTTTTGAACAGGAATTCCATAAAATATGTGGAATTTCTCCTATTAAAACGTATTTATAAATGGCGAATAATAATAATGTTGTTATTAAATTGGAGCCCAAAACAGCAAAGTAACGGGTCCATATTCATAAAATTTGAAATTTGCCAAATTATCTCAAATGCAAAATTTCTTTCAAAATATCTTTTTTTTGTATTTTGAGAATACAAATTGGAAACATTTTTAAAGTTGCCAATTTTCGGACCCCCTGAAAAACCTAGGGTTTGGGGGACCATGAGGAGTGTCCCACAATCAGGTACCTAAATTATTTGCCTTTTAGTGAATATGATCATTTCTGGTAAAAACCGGAAGCGAATAGTCTCTTATCAATTGATAGAGTACACCCTATTTTTTGTCATGTGATTGGTTCTTAAGTTTTACATAAACAAATAAAGTTGACATTTACAACAGCACCATGCATAAAATTTTGTTTTTTTTTTACATTTGCTTACTTTTCTTCGCAACTGTATCTTCCAAAAATTATTTTCTAACCGTATAAATAATTAATTTGCTTACCGTATACGGTTCGCATAATAAATGTAAATAAAGCTGAAAGTTTTCATTGACATTTCCAACACATCTCGCACGTTTGACGCGCTCGCACTTGAGGAAAATGATCGCACCGCTCGTAAGGACTCTGGAAACGCTACTGCCAAATCCTCGTGGTGAAATTCACATCTCCAAAGCATTCCCTGTCATTGACACAAACTACGCAAGCGCTACTAATACAAAAGTTTTTAATTTCGTACATCGGATTTCCAGCTTTTCTAATACAACCAGCTTAAGCGCATATTACTTACTGTTGAAATTTTTACGACAAAATCCATCATTAATTTATCAGTAACTACCTACCTAATAGGGACATCTCACTAAAAACGGAAATCCTTGTATATTTTTTTATGAATAAAGTACAAAGTTTCACTGTTATTATTGTCAGTAACTTCGTCCACATAGAATTCCATTTTCCACCTTTAGGGATGGTGTTTTGAAAACTCATATTATAGTGGATAATACCATTGTGTAAGGAACATTTGTATAAACTTTTAAGTTCCTGACTGAGCGGTTTGGACTGATCGATACATTAAACTTTTTTTCATCCCTTTAGGGGATGAATTTTAACAAGTCGTTTCTTAGCGCTCACTCGCGTTGTATAGGGAACGTCTGTGCCTCTTCTGGTTCAACGGTTTCAGCGGTGCGTTGATATATGTCAGTCTATCTTGGTAAGTAACGGAGATGAAAGTAGAGTTAGAATTAATATTAATATGAACTAGAAGAATTCCCCAGTTAAAGATATCTAGAAAGTTAGACAACTCATCGCAGAATAGCAAAAGCGATAGTGACACGGACAAAAAAATGGCGCAAAGTGAAGTGGTTTTTAACACAAATAAATTGCTTGTGTGCTTGCGATCGGTTAAGTAATTTAGAAATCCTAAAAAGATTATTAAAAGTGTATCTTCGGAGCACGGCTCCGTACAGGTGCGAAGCGTGTTAGAGGATGATAAAAATACCGTGAATAAAAAATGGTGGTTTGCAATAGATTGAGTGCCAATTGATTTTGGGCAAAGTGTTGATAGCTATTTAATTAACAAGAAAGCTGTTACTTAATAAAAAATAATAATTTATGTCAACAACGATACAAAGTTAATGCATATAATTTATTGTTGAACAAACGTATGACGGCTTGGAATCAAATTTTACAGTATCTTCAAAAATACTACCAATTAATTAATTATTTCTACTTAATGTTGTGCTTTGTTCGAGGGCAGTACTTATTGATTATTTTTTATGTAAAAAAGTGATTTTCGTGGAAAAAAGCGTTTATTAACATTCTTTATAGTTACAATATCAGATTTGTAAAAACTTTACAACAAGATGTCTTTAAAAGTATTACTAATAAATTAATTATTTCTACGTAATATTTTACAGTTTGTTCATAGAGTTTCACGTAGAAAAGTTATTTCCGTTAGAGAAATCATTTTCTAGTTTTCTTTGTAATTACATTATAAGAATTGTAGTATTTGCTGTATATTTGGTTGTCTGCATATTACATTACAAATTATAGTATAATTTATTGCAAAAAGAAAAATATTAGTTACCTATTTAAGTAACTGGGTCTACAGGAAAAGAATAGAAGTTAAAAATGAAAATTCATCAATCCATTTCAATGAAACCGAAATTATAACTCAGATAAGGCCTTTGTTTTTAAATTGTCCCGGCGCCTCCACCAAAATTACAAGAAATTACGTTTTATTTTTTTACGATAAAAAAGCTTTTGGATTGATTTATGAATACAACGAGCATCAGAATTGTTATACCGTGCAGATAGAGAGAGTGAGCATTCGGATAGAAGAAGGCAGGTAGTACGCTCGAATAATTAAACTTTTATATATATAAAATTATTTGTTTTAAACGAAAGCTCATTGTATTTAATATAGAAAAATACCCCATGTTTTTCTGGAATAAAGTGTCCTAGAAATGAAACAATTTTCAAAATCCTCACCTCTCTCGGCATTCATTACATACCCTAGAAATACACCTAGATTTGAAAATTGCTATTTCTCCGTAACACTAAACAGTACAGATAAGAAAACTGCAAGTAAGTTTGATTTCACCAGAAATTACGATTCATTTATTAACGATAAAACAAATTATTAATTAGTTTATGAATTCAACGAGCATCAGAGTTGTTATACCGTGCAGATAGAGAGAGTGAGCATTCGGATAGAAGAAGGCAGGTAGTACGCTCGAATAATTAAACATTTGTCTATATAAAATTCATTATTTTACACGAAAGCTCATTGTATTTAATATAGAAAAATACCCCATGTTTTTCTGGAATAAAGTGTCCTAGAAATCCTCACCTGTCTCGGCATTCATTACATACCCTAGAAATACACTTAGATATGCAAATTTCACTTTCTCCATAACATTTAACAGTACAGATAAGAAAGCTGCAAGTACGTTTAATTTGACCAGAAATTACGTTTCATTGTTTAAAACAAATTATGAATTAGTTTACGAATTCAACGAGCATCAGAGTTGCTATACCGTGCAGGTAGAGAGAGCGAGCATTCGGATAGAAGAAGGCAGGTAGTACGCTCGAATAATTAAACATTTTTACATATAAAATTCCTTATTTTAAACGAAAGCTCACTGTATTTAATACAGAAAAATACCCCACGTTTTTCTGGAATAAAGTGTCTTAGAAATGAAACAATTTTCAAAATCCTCACCTCTCTCAGCGTTCATTACAACCCCTAGAAATATACCTAGATATGAAAATTTCTCTTTCTCCATAACATTTAACAGTACAGATAAGAAAACTGCAAGTACGTTTAATTTGACCAGAAATTACGTTTCATTTTTTAAAACAAATTATGAATTA